TACCAAGCGGAAAGGTTGTACAGCTGGGTTGCTCAGACGATGGCCGAAGAGTCGGCCTGTACGTCGCCACGTTATTTTATTCAGTATGGCAGGAGCGGTAGTGGAACTTAATATAATGCATTCCAATGAACATTTCAGCTGAGCTGAAATGTTCATTGGAGTGCATTTCCAAGTGGGCCAGAGTGGGCCCTCCACAGGTCTGAATGGGCCCTCCAAAGGTCCGAATGGGGACTCTGCTGTCAATCACGGGCCCTTTAGAAGCCTGAATGGACCCATGTACACACCAGAATGAATTTTGACAGTCTTTAATGGGCCTTCCGCAGGTCAAAATGGGCCCTTAACAGGCTATAACGGGCCTTCTCCAGGCCAGAATGATGAAACTGCAGTCAATAATAGGTCCTCTACGAGGCTGAATGGGCGTCTCTACAGGTCAGAATAAGCCATGTACAAGCCAGAGTGGGCCCTTCAGTCATTAATGGACTCTCTTTAACTCATGACAAATCCTCTACAGGTCATAAGAGGCCCTCTGCAGACCAGACTGGGCTATTTGAAGGCCAAAATGGGTTCTCTTAAAGCCAACATGGGCCCTCTACACAGCAGAAGGGACCCTCCAGTCAATATTGGGCCGTCTGAGATCAGAAAGGGCCTCTACAGCTCGGAATGGGCCCTCTACAGGTCTGAATGAACCATGTACGGGCCAGAATACGCCCGAAATCTCCTCAGCATTGACCACCAGAGCCACTCGACGGTCAATAATGGACCCTCTGCAGCTCATAATCGGTCATCTACAGGTCATAATGGGTCCTCTGCAGGACAGAATGGGTCCTCCGCTCAAAAGTGGCCCATCTGTAGATGGGAATGGACCTCTATAGGCTGGGATGGGCCCTCACCACAGATCAATAACGGACCTTTTTCAATCAGAATTAGTCCTCTACAGGCTCACAAATTTGCTATCTTGGGCAGAATGAATCCTAAATGGGTTAGTCCGAGCCTACGAGAGGAGTGTACTTTTGGAGGCTCACATAATCTCTTTACATTTTAGAATCGGCCTTTGATATGCCAGAATGATCCATAGGCCCTTCGAGTTGGGGATGGGGGTGTGTGTGAGTTACCCATACTGCCTCCCCCTCCCCCCCCCCCCCCCCCCCCCGGTTCTTGCGTCCTTGCTTCACACCCCACTACGAGCTGCCCACGCCTCCTCATTCCTATCACAAGGAGTGAAGAACACGCAAATGTGCGTACGGTCTCTGGAATTTCAAACGCAGCGCAACATCTCCGAAGACATCAGGTCACACCGCTGGCGCCGTGCGTGTGCGGGATGCCAGTTGTGCTATCCATGTGTAAATGGCGCTAGTGACATGGCGCGATCTTCAGCCACGCGAATGCTGGCCCGCCAGCGCTCGCCGCATCCAGCGTAATAGAAGCGTGACGCACCAGCAGTGAACGGCAGCAACAGCGAAGAACGTCCACGTCTCATTGAGTAATTTGAACGAAGAAGCCGCATCCTTCCATAACAAGGATGCAATATTCGGTTGAGAGAGCAGGCAGCTGAGCCGATCGGTCGGGTCACCACGAAGCCGCTCCATCGAGTTCGCCGCCACCGGACATCTCCCGCTACCGCCGGCGCACCAGCCGCGCCGTCGGAGCTAAAGTACCGCCGCTGAGACACAACACAACGCCGGCACCGGACATCTCCCGCTACCGCCGGCGCACCAGCCGTGCTATCGGAGCTGAAGTACCGCCGCTGAGACACAACACAACGCCGGCACCGGACATCTGAGACGCAACACAACGCCGGCACCGGACATCTGAGACACAACACGACGCCGGCACCGGACATCTGATACGCAACACAACGCCGGCGGCGCGGCAGTCCCACAGAGCTGTGGGTGATTCACTCGCTAGCTCTGGCGCATGAATCACCACCGGCGGGCCACACTAAGCTGGCCGGACGCCGGTCCAGGCCAGCGGGAAGTCCCGTCCGTCGGTAGGGATCGCAGCGCCAGTCGTGCCGCAGATGCCAAGGCATACCTCACTGTCAAGTCATTAGAAGCACTGACAGGAACGCTGCACCCTTGCTTCACACTTAAATCAAGCTTTGAAACATTAAACACTGCGTCGAATGTCATATTCCGCCGGGATGTGGCGACGTCGCCGGAGCCGGAGGGCTCCAGTGACGTCATGCCCCTGTACTGAGCCGCTCAGCATCTCACCACTGGAAATCCCACGATGACACCCCTCCCCCGCCCCTGATTCCATCTGTGATACGAATGTCCCTTCTCAATCCTTCGTTAAAACTGTGAACGAGTACGTGCTTGCACAATGTCTGCAGTCAGCGTGTTCGAAATTTGCTGTCAGTGCTGACGATTTCTCTTTATCGGAAGACCTTTCACTGACGCTAACGAGACGTCTGCGATATGAGCGGTAAATTAATGATGACAAATGTTTTGGAGTCATCCGACAACTTTGCGCTGCCACGAAAAATTCGGGGCACTCGAAATATCTGGCCAGTGGAAGCGACTTTATCGAAACAGAGGATACCAGTCAATGTCAATTGAAATTTCCTACAATCACGCGTACACAAAGACAAGTCCTAATTCGATTAGACACAATTAGACACTTCATGTTCCGTGGACCTCCTTACTCATAGCAGGATATATCAGTGAACAATGATAAATGATGGCCATCTCTTTAAAACTATGTCGATCTCCATGGCGGTTGAATATTTTTTCCAGTTTCTTTGACAATGGCGATCCGGCACTGGGCCGTGAGGGGGACGCGTGCATACCACGCAGGCTTATTTCGTTTACCGTAATATTAGCGTTCTCGCCTCCACCTATGCAATGTCTGTCATACCGCCTCTGGATGAGAGATTTTGACCATACGAACAAAGACTAGATATGGTCTCCAAATTCCTCGATCCACGGAAGTATGGGTGCTCCTTTGGATGTCTCCGTTCGCCTCAGTTTTCGATGGCACGCCACTTTTCCTTCTCCCCGGAGATAAGCCTCTATGCATACACCGTGGCCTCAATGGCCAACGAGCACTGAAATTTAATGCGTGTGAGAGCTGGCCAGTATCTGCTCTCTTTGGTGGTGAAAATACGAAGGTGTTTGTGGTCTATTTAGCAAGATATACCTTAGCCTTAGGCTATAAATAACTGCTGTCATTGTTACAGCCGAAATGCAATCGATTGGTGTTTGCCACCACTACCACGCAAGTGCCGGCGTTAGTAACCATATGATTACCCTGCGTCCGCCATTGGGCTATCACGGTTTCAAATAACTTTAAAAGCGGTTGAAAACCGTGGTAAGAAGTTAATTTGTTTTCTCGAAAATGCCTATGAATTACTCATCACCGAATGTTAACTATCGGCGCTCATTCTTGAAAGATCTGTCGTGATTTCATGGTTACATAGCCGCGCTTGAGATATGCTCACAGATAGGCGCGGTGGATAATTCGAACCAAACGGTCGGGTAATCAAGCCCAGTTATTTTCACGGATGACAAGCAGTAATGCAGACGCGGCACGGTGCGGCCAAACCATTGCATTGAAAACAGCGTCGGTCTTTCATCGAGTCGGAAGTATTGCCAGAGAGACCGCATCCACGGGCGTGACAAGCCGTTCCTGCCTTGGTGATATGATCGTCGTGCACGGAGAGTGCGTCACGGGCAGTTAGGCCAGCTGCTCTGCGTTGATATGCACCCAATACTGTCGTCATAAATTGCAGCGCAGTTTAATGATTCATGCTATGCCGTTGCTTGGTCTCTCCAAACAAAAAAGTCAAGTTGTATTTATGCCATAGGTACGCACTTCCGTGCGGACATGTGACCGGTGCCCGCCCCACGCAGGGATGGTTGTATATAACATGCTTAGGCATGCAAGCGCAATACGTAACACCAAACGCCGCATTGTCTAATGAAGAAACCGCCTCCCATGCACTACGTGCAAAAGTGTGCAACTTGACTCCCTATGCAAAATTGTATGCGCAGAACGCCACCCGTTCAAAGCCAGGGGCGTGGGGACACAAATTGCTCGCACGCATGGCGCTCGTGGTAGCAGTCTGCGCCAGACGAAGCTTGCAGGAAGAGTGGGAAACAACACGCGTGTGAATCGCCATCCTGCCGGCAACACTACGTGGGCTTCTGGTGGCTCATGATAGAGCTTGCGACATTGGCCACCAGGTATCGGGCCTATCGCAGGGGGGTATATAAACTCGGCACGGTGTGTTGCGATAGAGCTGGCCGGCATACGCAGGTGGTGCCTTGCTCTCCCGTTGTTGTCGTCTGGCTGCGGGCTATTACTGGTGAGCGTAGTGGCCGGACAGCTGCTGACCGGTCCAAATGTGTGTGACATCCGCTTGTTGGAGTTCGCTCCTGAATCCTGTTCGTCTGATGAGCGGTGAATGCCGACTCCTGCTCTGAGCGTATCGTTTTCTGCGCGTTGGAGACACGGGCAGCGCGCTGTAACGTGAGGCTCAGTGCTGGAAGCCCGTGGTTCAAGGCATTAATGCTCTTCAGCCATTAATGAAGAGAAAGCGAAGTCGATTTGCACTACTCTCGTATATGCACTCATTGCAGCCTCAAGTTGTGGAGGCTAACCCAGCTGTATTAGTGTAGTCTGACATGACCGTAGCATTGGTATTTTCTTGCAGTTTGCATTTACCTGGTCGAAGTAAAATCCTCACAAGCCGCCATGCTGCGTGTGGTGCTGCTTTGCGCGTGCCTCGGAACCCTGGAGGTCGCCGTCGGCAACTCCTCTCCGATCAGCCTGCTGCTGGAGAACTCCAGGGCCAAGGTCAGTCAATGCGTGCGACCAGCTGATTGAGAATAACACGACCAAGCAGTCGCAGAAATTAAACGTTTCGTCCTCTACGTTGGTTCGCAACCGGGTGAGAACGTGTTGTGCTGGGCGTGGCACACTGGCGCTTGACTGTATGCTAAACGTACCGGTTTTCAGAAGTCGGTGTCCCAAGAGATTTGTCTATGTTTCATGGAATTCAGATGTTCCAAGGACACGTCGCCGTGGGGACGCCTCCCCAGGTCATGTCGGTAGTCGTCAGCGTAGAAAATGCCCGAGTTTATTTCCCGTCCATCAAATGCAAAGATCTGGGGTGTAAGATACGCAGGCGGTATGACTCATCGGTATCACACACCTACAAGGTAAGAACGCGTGAGTGATATCCATAGAGCGGATTAGTCGTGTCGCTTGAAGATACAGGAGCGCCTTCTAGTTTTAAAATAGGCCGCGAAATGCATGGCATCGCGTCGGAGAGGACGTTTTCATGGTCTCGAGCAGGCCCTCGTCTCACGTCAACGCAAAGTTCTGGTGTGAGCCAATACTGAGCAAAGGGATTTGCAGTTCTATGCATTTTTCACCTAGCATATGAGTAGATCATTGGCACATAAACGAAATATTCGCATTGTGTCTTCCTCCAACCATCATAAAAACAAAAAAATCCGTACCCTATGAGTTCCAAATAAACCAGATTGTCTCTATGTGTTTGCTTTTCTACGACATTTTCGCAACCGAGGCACAACGCAGGTTAACAACCAAACAAGTTTCCAGTTACTGATCTGAAAAGTCAACCACAGAGGACACTGATGGCACTATGCCATGTAGAAACTGTGGCCTACGTGAGGTTCTCGCCACGAGACTCGAACCTCAGACCTTCTGATTCAAGGTGCGACAGCTCCCCCACCAGGTCACCTGCTTGACACCCATCCTTCCACAGGAGGACGGCACACCATTCGCCCTGCCCGGCCAGAACATCAGTGGCATCCTCTCCACGGACTCACTGCACATAGCCGGCAACTCTGTTGCCTCCCAGACGTTTGGCGAGGGCACCTCCGACAAGAACAGCTTCGACCAGATGACACCGAATGACGGCATGCTTGGCCTCGGCTTCGGCAACGACACCCTGCTGACGAGCATGTTCGTCCAGGGCCTCATCCCGGAGCGTGTGTTCGGGCTGTGGCTGGGCCGCGATCCGCAGGGCGGCGAGCTCACCCTCGGCGCCGTCAACAAGGACCTATACAGCGGCGATATGACCTGGGTGAGCATTGTGAATCCCGCCCTCTCCTGGACGGTGATGGCGGGTAGCATCGCGCTCGACGGCCACCCGGAGGCGGCGCTCTGCCCGGACGGCTGCAGCGTCAGCATGTCCTCCACTTCGCCCTACTTCATGGTGTCCTATGAGCGCGCGAAGGCGGTCAGTGACATCCTGGGCGGCACAGCGGTGCCAAGCACTCCGGGCTTTTACCTCTTGGACTGCGCCACGCTGAGCGGCCTGCCCACCCTGCAGATGAAGATCGGGGAGCGCACGATGGAGATGACGCCGCAGCAGTACACATTCGTTCTGCCAATTGATGGCGACCAGCAGACATGCGCCTCCGGCTTTATCGGCGCTCCGATGGTTACTGACCAATGGATCTTCGGCACGCTGTTCATGCAGCAGTTCTACACGGCCTACGACGTGGAGAATGAGCGCGTCGGATTCGCTGACAGTGTTTAAGCTGGTTTGAAGGGAGTTTTGATGATGTCTGTTGATGGCGTAGCGTCATGGTCAGCTTTCTTCTCTTTTTGATGGGCTCACCTAAGACGTGGGCATGCGGCTATTTTGAACATTTTTGGGTGATCAGCCGTAGATCAATTCACGGATTGAGCAATCAGGATCCGGCCCAGTCCAGTCTAGCCAAGCCAGATCCACTACACCCGCTGATTCACTTTCCCCAGCTTTCTGACTCCAATCCGGTGCCGTCCGCCTTAACAGAATAAAAGTTATCAAATGACACCCGTGCTACTCCGCCTCAGCATGAAGGACTTTTAAAATTTTAGCAGCAAATTTGGTTTAGGTGTGAATGACAAAATAATTGAAAAATATTGATTTCCATTGGATAACTTTGTGCAAAAGGCTGCCACAAGCCAGTGGATGCTAATATACTTAACACAGCTTGTTGCCTGTTAAGAATGCAATTTTGCATTCAGATCAGAACAAACAAGGATCATCATATTTTTAATCATATCGCAATTGTTTTGGTCAATAACTTGAAAGTACCACCACCTTGCAGGGGCTAGAATCACTTCTGGTTTCAATAAGTTAAAGGCACGAGCACATCATAACATTTTCAGGATCCAGGTTAGGTGCAACATACCTGTACATGCCACCAGACAGTTTCAGCGGCACACTGTTCACAAGCGCAGGACGGCGCTCATCTCGTGCGCCTCCTGAATAACCAGAACGACCATCTCATCTCATATGTGATACTTCAGGCGTGTTTCCGTTCTCGAATACACTAACTAATGAAACAACCTCAACTGCAGTCATTTTTCCTGCCAGATTGCCAGCTTCATCAACATTATTATCTACGCGTGCTACTGTCAACTGTCTGCGGTACCCACTATTTCGTTCAGGGGAATGAAGTGGTTGCGTCATTTTTGGATCATATGCTGAAATGCCAAATACAAACAAATCTCCCGTTTTTGTTCATGCTGGAAAAATATGACAACTATTTCTAGTTGTAACCGTACAGCACACAGCCACATGACGTCACATATACGCAGCTGAAAACATTTTTTGTCATGTACATTGAAAATAGAAGAGCGCGATAGCCGAGTATGTGAGTGCAAGTCAACCAAATAAAAGTACAGCACAATGTGTAAGAATACCACGAGAAAGGGACTAAACACGCGCACATTTGATTATTTGCGTTCTGGAAACACCGCAGTGATAAGCACGACACCTCGGGAGAAGTTGAGGTACTACAAGTGAGTCAGCGCGTCCACTACAATGACCATTTCGTATGGTCGGTTTAGCAGCCTTCTGATGTCACCCTTTCATGGCGTGGAAACGTTCCATGGCGCAATCAAATGATAACGTATCGAGGAACATATGTATTGAATAGTTAGGGGAGAGTGAGGCAATACGGCCATGGTAGGAAAGACGGGCATCCCTCTACAAGCTACACTGTAGCGGTGCAATGTCAACACCCAAAAGAGTGCGGTCACCGGTAGATAGCGCCAACGAGTGCTGTGGTGTGTTAGAGGAATTAGGTACCTATTAAGGACCGTGAGCGTCTCAAGAAGTTATTGAATTGTTTTTATGCTGGACAATAGTATGAATGTTTTGTTTACAGATAGATGATGGCTAATGTAGCTATTGTTTGACAGCTCAATCATATCGGCAATCATAACTAGGCAGAATGTTGCTGGTATGAAATGATATAGCTGTCCCGAGCCACGGCGTTACACAGACACACAAGGAACAATGACCCACTCGCTGGCTGTGCCCGATTGGCAATACCGTTTATGACAGAAGCGGTTGCTCCTGTTGCGGCCACCTGCCAGGGAGCCCTTTTTTCTCATCGTCGTTTTCGTTGCTTTTTTGTTTGCTCTTGGTCCAGAACCTGCATTTTTCACTCGAGTTCAGTAACTTTCTTTCCGCCGAGCCACTACGGGGAAGCACGGAGAACGCAAGAAGGATGACACTGACACAGATTCGAACCCGGCCTCCGACATTGATACGCCCTTGGATACAGACGACGGATGTGCTGCCCGCCCCGCTTTGGCCGCGGCATCGCCTGATGACTCTTGCGCGCCCCAGGCCACGACCGTTGAAACGCACACTTCCACCGTGGTGGCTGGACAGCAGACGTCTCTGTCCAACGCCCCCGGTTCCGACCCTCGCTCCTCTTTGACCACTCGGGCGCCTGCTCGCCCTGATGCTGACCCTCGCTCGACAATGACCAGTGTTTGCCTGCCCTCTGAGCCAATTCTGGATCCTCTCGGATCGTACGTTGTCCAACCTTGGGATGAATATGTGTCGTTTCGAAAGATCAACGCTTTCTGGCCACCAAAGCAAATTCAGGCTGTCTACGGCCCATGCGACCTGAAAATTGAAGCACCGGCAAGCGGATCACTCGTCATTAAAACAACCACTTGCGCACAGAACAGGGCTCTTCTCAAAACAACGGAATTCTGTGGCAAGCAAGTCAAAGTGTCTCTCCACCACGCCCGAAACACTACCAAAGGCACTATCTTCGCGCCTGAGCTCCGTTTGATGACGGAGGAGGAGATCCTGGTGGAGCTCGGGAGTGAAAATGTTTGTTATGTCCGACGTCTGACGACCTTCAGAGATGCCCAGCGTCGCGACACCAGCCTGCTTGTTTTCACTTTCCCGAGCACCCGACTCCCCGAAACACTCACAGCTGGTTACCTCCTTTATGAAGTTAGAGTTTTCATACCAAAACCATTCCAAGACTCCAAGATGGCATCACAGTCCAGCAAGACATATGCACAGATAGCAAAATGCCGTCAACATAACCTGGAATTATTCTTAATAATTTTTTTAGGCGATGATCCACATTAGCTTAATCTTTCGTTCAGTTTTCTCAAACGTGCAAACATGCTTCACCTGATATGAATGCTCGTAGATAATTTTTGTTAAATTCTCTTTTGTCCAAGGCGTGAAATGGTCCAAATGGGCCGAAACGCCCTAAACCCAATAAAAGGAAAAGGAAAACGGCGTTATAATATATTTTGTGCAGCCTGACAGCGCAGTGTTCTTTACTCTTCGTGATCCGTCCTTCTCTGGATGCGCTGCCCTGTCTGTCAGTCCGGGCCTGGCGTCGCCTCAATGCCGGTACCGATGTTTCAAACTGGACCAGCACAACCAACGCAGCAGTGCTAGTCCCGGCCACTCGGCCGCAACCAGCCGGTTGACAGCCCGAGCCCTGAGGTGCGGGTGATTACGCTTGTGTCGCACTGAACGGGGCTCGGGTTGTCAATTGAAGAAAACAAAGGGCAACTACTGCCACCTTTCTCTTTCGTCGCCGAAGGCAGTGATGTGTACGACAAAAGTACCAGCGCTACCACCGCCAAATTCATAAACCACGGCCCTCCGGCGCCTCTCATTGTCGACGCGTTGCTACGTTTAGGCAAGCGGGGTCTTGTTTAATTAACGATAGAACTGTCATTTGCCTTAAAGTGAATATTTTTCGGTCGGCCTGTCTGGGGCCCCACTTAGCTATAGTAGAGTCCAGAAGGATTAGCTTTCGGCAGATGATGCTTCCCACGGTCAATGTTTATAACGCATGGCTGGCAGGAGTCCCGACAATAAGGCGTCCGAAATTTGTTCATGGATGTTGATAGTGAGAAAAGATGGGAAAGACGGGCGTTTTAAGTGCCTTTTTCTCCATACCATACTTTCCATTCCTCACAGAGCATCAAGAGTTAATGAAACAGGCATAGCAACAGTGCAGGCAAAACCAAGCGAAGTCCTGGCCCAAAGAAGGAAAAAGAAGATTGAGATGGTAGCTTCGACAGAGCGGGGGCAACTTACCACGGCATTTATGTGCATGGCTTCGAGTGGTAACTGAGTTCCAACGATGATGACTTTACTGCGAGCTTGTGAGAACAAATACTGGAACGCTGCGCACCACCTGGACAGATCGCTAGTATCATCCCTCCGGATGTATGCAAGGCGCGATATTTAGAGGGAATGTTCCACATTTGAAGATATTGAAGTAAGCATCAGACATGGTTAAATGAACTTACTTATGACTACTGACAAACTTTTAAGTGGGAAAACTTCTCTAGACAACACTATTTCTTTATTTAACAAATATTTCCTGAATACGCCATTATTTGATTACGTCATCGTATCTTGCACAACGTTGATCGGGAGCCAATTGAAGGCCGCTGTATTTAGGAATCGTACTCACAAAGGCCAGATATAAACGACTCGGTGGTTCTGCTTTTCTTGGCCCCGATCGCTGCATGGCTAATGGAATGGCAAGATCTCAATGATGTTATTATGACGTCATGAATGCCTGGATGACCTTAAAATGGTCTCTCCGAAATGATCTGCACATCTCCGTCGACGTTTAGCTCAGAAACTAAAGCGGTTGAGGTCTTAAGAAGGGTAAGACAGTGAATAATCTTAAAGATGGCCATCTCAGCTAAAAAAAATATATCGTGCAGGATTTCATTTATGTCCGAATATCTTCGCTGTTATAGCAGTGAAATATTGAACATAAACCATCCTTTTCCTTCAAACCCTTTAGTTTTTGCTTACATAAGACATGTGATGCTGTCAGATGAGACCAGTAATCAGTTTAATTGGGTGGCTTGACGGTAGGGTTATATCTTCTCCGTGTTATCTTATCGGCAGTTTTATTGAGCTCTCTAGAAGTACCTTTTAGCTTATGCGCAGTATTATGTGTGCATAGTATTATGTGTGTTTGGCTCTATCTTGCCGGTGACAATTATTACATTCGTATTGAAACGTGTTTTTAATTGGGTCGATTGCAACATCGTAACCTCAGCACGGTGCAACCGGTTGCAATGTCGTTTTCCCGCATTTCATCCGTTAGGTTACGGATATCATCAAAACGGAAGAAATACAGGACTGTCATCATTAGGCCCACAAATTGTCATGAGTAGAGTTTGAAATGTCTTATTTTAGAGACCAACTTTAGTTTCACTAAGTTACCGTTCGCGCCATGTTTGACGATCAATATTTTAATCTTCACGTTACGCCTCGGCAACATTACACTCAAGCGTTTTGCGTTCCTTTGAAAACGGATATACGACGACCCGAACTGTTTCTGAAAGTTGCTTCTTTGCCTTTTTGCAATGAGTATCCTGCAAGACCACAATGTCCATTTTCAAGTCTGGGAAGTGATGAATCACGACCCTCTTCTTTGTATGCTGAGCTAGGCCACGGTGATTCATGGATGTAATCCCAAGGCTAATCGTTCACGGTTCTATCGCACCTAAAGAAATCCACCTTGG